TCATGCTCTGTCTCTCTCCATCTCAAAAATAAATAAAAACATTTTAAAAACTTAAAAAAAAATAAATAAACTACACTAACCACTTGACCATCATTCTCTTCTCTTAGGTCTGACTTGGCTTCTCCAAGCCTGAAAACCTGCCTCTGCTCCCTCTGGGCTGTGCTCGGAACACTGAGCCCCGCCACCTCCTTATGTGCAGAGCAGACTGCCAGACTCAGGGGAGGGTGGGAGGTTGAATGGCTTGGTGGGGACAGCCCCAAGGACAGCTGATGGAGATGGACCTATGTCTTCCTCAGGCCCCAGGAGAGATGACTCAGCTGCCAGTGATCAAAGCGGAGCCCCAGGAGGTGAATCAGTTCCTCAAAGTGACACCAGGTAAGTATGTCCAGAAAGGGACTCTGCCTCTCTCCAGTCTTGGGCAGACAGCATCCCTACTCCCTTGGCCCGGCCCACCCATCTCCCTTGACAACTCCCATCTCTCTTGAGAATATCCTTTCCTCCCTGCCCTTCACACTTTCCCTTCCTCAAGCCCCCTTCTTACCCAATCTACAACTGTCATCTCTGTTACTGACACTCTCTCACCCTGTTTGCTAATCCCCCTCCCATCATTCACTGATGATGCCCGCTCTGTAGCCATCCATCCTTCCATCCATTTATCCATCCATCCATCCATCCATCCACCCAGTGAGTTCATTGTGCATGTCCCAGTACCAGGAGCTGGGGAAGCAGAGAGAGAAGACAGTTCCTGTGCCCAAGGAGATCAGAGTAATGAGGGCCAATATCATAGCAGCCAAATGGATTAAAGTTGGCAGATCCCAGGAGGCCTTGGAAGCCTCCCAGATCTGACAAGGAGGAAGGGAACAGAGGAAGCTTCTTGGATTGGCCAGGAGAAAAGGCTAACTGAATCTTTCCAGTCCCACCCCATTAATCCATCAAACATTCATGAAGCATCTACTATGTATCAGGCCCTGGGCTCAGTAGCACATGCTTTAGAAGGATGAATAGGGCCCCAGTTTCACCCTCAGGTTGCTCACTTCCTTGGAGAGAAGACTCACAGAAGGCAGAAAGGGGCCACTGTGAAAACACATCGCCTTGTAGAGCGCCCTTCCATCCGTAAAGCATTTTTACAAACATTAGCTCATTCCATCCTCGTGGCTCCCTTCCAACAGGAAAGTGAGGCTGGGAGAGGCTAATAAACATGACTGTAGGCCACACACTTGGGGCAGGTGACAGCAGAACTTGAACTCGGGCTCTCTGGCTCCAAGTTCAGGGCTCTTTAAGAGGCAAATCAAAGTCTGGGAAAGGAGAGAGGACTCCTGCAGGGGGCAGTTTGGGGCAGAGTCTAGAAGGATGCAGCTGTTCCTCCTAAGCCTCAGCCCAGAGCCTTCAGGTCTCCACACCTGTTATTAGCTGGGCTTTCTGTGCCGACCTGGGAGCTCTCCCTGCAGCTAGGCTCTCGGTCCTCATGGCTCTACCCAAGCTTCTTCCTGACCACCTCAAGTGTCAGTCTTCCTGATGCTGTGGCCACAGAGAAGCAACAGGGGTGGGGAGGCTGGGGAGAGCAGTGCCCCTGGCTGGTCTGCCAAAAGCCCAATGCTGTCCTGTTACCCTGAAGTTGAAAGAGGAACCCCTGGGGTTGATGTGGCTAAAAGTTTTGCAGTGGAAAAAAAGAAGTGACAGAGGCTGTTGCTTGCCCAGCCTGATCCCCATGGGTCTGACTGCGGGCAGATTCCAGTCACCTCTGGGGTTACCAAGCTGGAGGCTCAAAGGGTCTGGACCCTGTGAAGTCAGGGATGGGGGAGGGACTTCAAGAATCTGGCCTCCATGATATCCACACCAAGGACCAGGCTTAAGGGAGCCAGACCTCTTTGGCGTCAGAGATGGGATGGCACTCAGGAATCAACTTCGGAGATGTCAGCTCATCTATGTGACATGGCAGAGGGGCTTGTGATGTTACAGCTGGCCAAGGCCCCAGTGTTCCGTTCCCCAGTGTCAGGGCTGGCTGACCTCTGATGTCCAAGCAGAGCTGGGATGCAACCCTGCTAACCTGGATTCCCCCGCTCTCCCCAGAGGACCTGGTGCAGATGCCTCTGACGCCCCCCAGCAGCCACGGCAGCGACAGTGACGGCTCCCAGAGTCCCCGCTCTCTGCCCCCCTCCAGCCCTGTCCGGCCCATGGCCCGCTCCTCCACGGCCATCTCCACCTCCCCCCTTCTCACCGCCCCTCACGTAAGCAGCTGGGGGTGGGCTGACCCTAGAGGCAAGGAACTGAGTAAGTCCACCCTGTACATGACCAGCAGGGAAGGGTCTGGGGAGCCCCAAGCCTGATCCTCATCCCTATCAGAATTCAGAGAGGTGCCTGCCTGGCAGATGGGAGTGAGAATCTTTCAATCCTGCTTTGGGGTGAAGAGGAACCAGGTAGAGAGGTCCAAGAGGCCTGCCAAACCCACACTGTTGCCGAGCCAGGACTAGAACTTGACATTCCTGACCTCTAGGGGGATGGCCCAGGCTCTAGGAGGCCCAAAAGCCCCCAGGAAACATGGAGCTAGGCCCTGAGTCCTGGAATGAGTGTGGAGCCTCCCAAGTGGAGACTGTAGGGACATGAGGGGGCTGCTGCTTAGGGGCTCTGGGCAAGCAAGCTTTGAGGCTGTGGATTCCAGAATGGGATCTAGGGACACCCCCGCCCCCCACCACAATAATAGGCTGAGTGCCTAACATGCTGGGCTCCCAGCACTGTTGATTCATGTTATCGGATTTAATTCAGATCCACCCTCTTTCAGATTGGGAAACTGAGGCTAAGAGAGTCGAGTACCTTCCCCAAGTCACACAAAGAGTAAAGGGCAGAGCTTGAACTGGAATCCAGGGCTGTCTGGTTCCTAACCATCATGTCGTACTTCCCACAGAAATTACAGGGGACATCAGGGCCGCTGCTCCTGACAGAGGAGGAGAAACGCACCCTGATTGCTGAGGGCTACCCCATCCCCACGAAGCTCCCCCTCACCAAAGCCGAAGAAAAGGCCTTAAAGAGGGTCCGGAGAAAAATCAAGAATAAGGTAAAGCATGAGCTGGACCCAGCCCCTTCCCTAGGACTTCCTTGGTGGGTGGAAGCCTCTGCTCCCCTGGTGATGCCAGTCCTAAAATTGAGGATCCCCAGGAAGTGGTTACGTGGCTATGGTAACCCCTGTTCGGGGGCTTGCCCCTCTAGATCTCGGCCCAGGAGAGCCGCCGCAAGAAGAAGGAGTACGTGGAATGTCTAGAAAAGAAGTAAGCATCCTGGGCAGGGTGGCAGGCCTGGGACCCACTCCCCAGCCTGCCCCGCTCTCCCTGGTCCTCTCTCAAAGGGCACCAGAGCAGAGGGCGTGGGGAGCGGGATGCCACAGGGAATGGTGGGGCAGGGGTGGGGGGCGGGCAGCAGCGGGTCTGGAGGCTGCCTCTGAGCCTTTGCCTACCTGGCCCCCTCAGGGTGGAGACATTTACATCAGAGAACAATGAACTGTGGAAGAAGGTAGAGACCCTGGAGAATGCCAACAGGTGAGTTGTCCCACCTGTCTCCTCCCTGGCCCCCCACCCTTCTGCAGCCAGTGCCTGGCTCTGGCATAGCTCTGGGAGGCAGGAGAGAGACGGGGTAACTGAGTTCAGGATGACAGGAACCCTGCGGAGCCTGGGACCCCTGGCCTCCCATCCTTCTTCATCCGCACATAGCTCTATATGCTATGACAGGGCAGGTGCGACGCTTAAATGAGCTGATGTGGAGCAGTGGCTTTCCAAGTGTGACCCCAGACCAGCAGCAGCAGCCCCTGGGAACTTTCAGAAATGCTTATTTTCAGGCCTCAAGCCAGACCTAGTGAACCAGGAACTCCCCGGGGAGGGCTCAGCAACCTGTGTTTTAGTAAGCCCTCCAGGTGATTTTGGTGCACCCTAAAGTTAGAACCGCTGGTGTAGGTGTGGCTGCTCAGGGCTCTTCTTACCAACAAACAGCATTGGCACCACCTGCAGAATCAGGATCTGCGTTTCCACAAGATCCTTCAGTGATTCACGGGCACAATTAAGTTTGAGAAACATCAGTGTGGAGCCGGCACAGGGCCTGGTGGCCACATAAAATCACAGCCTGGGTTTTTTGTTTGTTTTGTTTTGTTTTGTTTTGTTTATCCCATTCTGCCATGTTTGCGATTCTGGGAAAACCATTAAACCTCTCTGGGCCCCAGTTGCTTTGTCTAAATGGGGATTATAGAAGCTCTGTCTCCCAGGATTTGTGTGAAGGTTCGATGAGACAGTGCAAGTAAAGGGCCCAGAGCTGTGCTTGGCGTTTGAGAATGCTGAATTCATGTCAGCTCTTCTTCTTCTTTTTTTAATGGTTATTCTGAATTCTTGATGGTGCCTAGCCATGAGCCCACAGTAGGTCTTTAATAATTATTTGCTGGGGTAAATTAAAATGACGTAGATGACAGCTGGTAATTCGCAGGTGCTCAACAGAAGGCTTTTTCCTTCTTTCCTCCCTTCTCCCCCAGCTTCTCCAGCAGGATCCAGCCACTCCCCTGATTGACCTGGAGAATGCCCCCCACTCAGGGAAGGGAGGCGGGAGTCCGCACCCCTCACCCCTCTACCTCTGGCCCAGATTCCTCTCTGGCCCAAAATAGGGCCAGGCCCTTGGAGCTATTTCGCCACCTGCTGTACATTCTGGTAACTGCAACCCCACTGCCCGGCTAGGTGGAGGAAAGCGATGGTTAAACTGTTACTCACCAAGCATGGGCTGAGTCCCCCCTGCGTGTGCCCGGAGGATTCCACGTTGGGTGGGACCCGGTCCTCGCCCTCAGGGAGCCCACAGTTAGTGAAGGAGACTGACATGGCAATCCGTAAATAAACGAAGTGCTGCAGGTGCTGTGATAAAAGCAACAAAACAAAATCAACGAAAATGGGAGTTACCATTTACTGGACCCTCACTACACACCAGACAGCTGCCACACGTGGCCGTCTTATCAGCTCAGGGAGTTGTGGGGTTCAAAGACAGGAAGGTCAATTTAGCTGTGGCTGGTGTAGGTGAAGAAAAAGGTGACCTCAGCCCAGGTGGGGTAGACCCTCCTCCCACCCCCACTTTGGTGAGGAGCAACCCTGGACTCCCATAGGGTGACCCAGCTGTTCACTGTGAGACAGGCCCCAGGTCCCCCCAAGCCACACCGCAGAGGAGCCAAGCGGGAGGTGACCTTTTCTGTCGTGACTGAAATGGACACCTGGTGTGGAGGCTAAGGCTGGAGCCAGCCCAGGCGCACCCTGGGAGAGCTCCAGGAGGCAGAGATGCCTGCGGGGTCAGAGCGTGCCAGGTGACCACTGTGCCCTCCTCAGGACCCTGCTGCAGCAGCTGCAGAAACTCCAGACTCTGGTCACCAACAAGATCTCAAGACCTTACAAGATGGCCGCCACCCAGACTGGGACCTGCCTCATGGTAGGTGCTGTTCCCTCACCCCAGGGCCACACAAGGACAAGACTTCCCCAGGCTGGCTTTCTAGGAAAGCAGGCAGAGCTTGGAGGGATTGGCTACATCACCAAGGTACACGATCCTAGTGCCTGGTGAGCTGGCTCCTGCAGACCCCAGCCTCTTTCACCAAGCCCATGGAGCCTTCTAGAACATGACCTTCCGTGATGAATTCTAACACCGTGTGGATGTGTAGTGGCTCATGTGAACCCAGTTAGGGGATAGCAGGGCAAGTCCCTTGAGGAGGCCACTTCTACAAGGCCGCTGGGGAGGAAAGGGCTTAAGGAAACACAAGGAAGTTTGGACTTGGTTCTTTCTTTCTGGAACCAATAGCGAGGAGCAGGTTGAGCAAATCTCTAGAAACCCAAAAGAATATGCAGGGTGTGGCTCAGGCCTCTGCAAGACCCTCTTCCACTCTGTCCTGGAAATGTGCGGCCTGCTGCCCCCTGGCTGATCACTCCCCAGGCCCTCTGAGAGCCTCACACTGTCAGGTGGCAGTCACCCTGTGGGCAGGGCTCAGTTCCTGGTGCGTGACTCTCAGCTCCTCTTGTGAGAACCTGGTATGATGCTCTGTCCCCCTCCCTTAACCCCCCAAACCGCCACCTACTCCTTTCTCCCTGTCCTGATTCCTCCACCTTATAGGTTATAACCATGTTGACCACTTTCCTCTTTTTCTAATGCTGCCTATGGCGGTTCCCTACAATGAGCTGCGATGCTCTGAGCAGCCTCCCCAACCTTCTCCAGAAAGGGTAGAAGAGCCCACCTCTAGGGGGTAGTTGGCTCTGGGTGCTGCTTTTTTGGAAAAACACAGAGGCTTTTATACCTATTGGTTTGGGGTCAGAAGGATTGAGGGTGGCTCTGACCACCGCTGTCTCTCCACTACCAGGTGGCGGCCTTGTGCTTCGTTCTGGTGCTGGGCTCCCTTGTGCCCTGCCTCCCTGAGTTCTCCTCCAGCTCCCAGACTGTGAAGGAAGACCCCGTGGCCGCTGACAGCGTCTACACAGCCAGTCAGAGTGAGTGGGCCAGGCTATGTTAACCTGAACCAGGCCATCTTCCCTCAGCCCCAACTTCCAGACAGAAGCCAGACACGAGAATGGAGCCAGGTTCTGGGTGGGCGTTACCTTCTTCTGTGTCCTCATCTTGCAAATGGGGAAACTGAGGCTCCGAAAGGGCATATGATTTATTCAATGTTGGTTGTAGAATTGGGACTGCAGTGCAGACCCCCTAATCCCAGCCCACCCAAGAGTGGCTCAGAGGGGCTAACAGGAATGTTCCCACCCTAGCCCCGACGAATTATGGTACCAGTGGTCATGGGGCATCTGCTAGATACCATTAGTATTTCAGGAATGGGATGGCAAATGAGTTTCAGTTCAAGGGCCCTTTCCAATAAGATGGTGGTGGCTGTCTGAAGCACTATGTGAAGGACCCTGACATAGCACTCAGAAGCAGCAGGAAGGAGTGCCAAGACCCACTGGTAATGCCTACCTTGGGCAGAAGAGGGGCCATGGTGGTGTGAGCTCAGATATTTACCGTCCCATAGGGGGTTGTAAGGTACAGTGATTAAGAGCGGGGGGCCTCAGAGTCGGTCGTACCTGCCGTGGCCGTTTGCTAACTGCGTGACCTTGGGCATGTGCCTTAAGCTCTCTAAGCATTAATTTCTTCATCTGAAACGCGGGAGTCACAGCTCTACTCTTACCAAGCACGGTTGTTGTGACAACTAGATGGCAAGGCGCACAAACACTCTTAGCACAGTGGCTGGTGTAGAGCAAGCACTCACTAAATGAGCACACTGCCACCTTTTCGAAGACCACACGAGAGGAGAGAAAAGGTATAATATGTGGGTGGCAAGGGGAAGAACTGGTAGAGGGTGCAGCAAAGAACAGTATGGATTTCCAGAGGCAGAAGATACTTCAGGTAGACCCACAGAGGAGCTTTCTGGCTGTTCATCATTTACCAGGAACGAATTTATCTAGCAGGGCAGGAGGAAGAGGAAACAGATGGGAGGTCAGAGAGGGAGGGGACAGGGAGGAGTGAGATTCGAGAAGGAGAGATATGCAGGGAGAATGAGCTAGACCAGCAGGGCCTTGAGGGGAGGAAGGGGTGGGGAGGGTTAGGGGAAGAGGAAGTGGAGGTGGTGAGTGAAAACCACTCCCTGGACAAGAGTGGCCTGAGAAGACAGGACAGTTGCTAAGGGAGGTGGGCCACAGGGGTGTAAGGGCTTGCGAGTCACGTATCCATTTTCCAAGAGCAGAGGGGCTCTTGTATATTTGGAGGTAGAGGAAACCCCAGGAGAGGAAGGGATGGAAGTTGGGGGTGGGGGCAGCATTAATGAACAAAGCCAGAGTCAGAGGAGGCGAGGGAATGAAGGAGCCCCTTGCAGTGAATGCAGTGCGTGGCAGGCCCTGTGTGCATCTGTGGTAGGAAGTGGCTTCTGGAACTGGCTTTTCAGAGCTGGTGTATTGCTCAATTGCAGGGAGTGCCTTTCACACAGACCCTTAGGTCAGGGCCTGAGGGCTGGAGCCAGGCAGACCTGGGTTTGCCTCTCACCTCTAGCGTCCCCGATAAGTAGAACCTCGGTTACCTGTTCTGTGAAACTGGGCTAAAAATATCTCGTTCCCAGGAGTTTCTGTGAGTTGTTAGTGATTTGATACAGGTCAAAGGGCTTTGCACGATGCCTGGCACAAAGTAGATATCCAGGGGCGTGTGCGTGGCTCAGTCGGTTAAGCGTCTAACTCTTGATCTCAACTTGGATCTTGATCTCAGGATTGTGAACTCCAGCCCCGCACTGGGCTCCACACTGGGCATGAAGCCTGCATAAAACAAAACAAAACAAAACAAGGTCGATATCCAACAAATTTGTTTTCTTTTCCTTCATTTCCCTGAAGGCCATACTAGGGCCTAGAATGGGGAAGAGATTGATTCAAGGTCTCACAGAAAGTGAATAGTGGAGGTGGGATTAGAATCCACCTCGCAGATGCCCCGCCCCGGTATCCTCTGCTTAGGAAGAACTACTTTCTCAGAGTGTTTACTATGAACAGTTCCAATCACTTTCCCTATATTGTCTCATTAAACCACATCTACTTGAGGTTGGCCCTAGTATCCCTATTTTACAGATGAGCAAACTGAGGCTCCGAAAGGCTAAAGCAAAGGCCTGATTTTCCTGAGGTCATGCAAATTGGAAATGTTAGAGCTAGGATTCAAACTCAGGTCTGCAAGATTTCAGGACCCTCATCGTTAACTAGTGGACCAGGAACGCGGCTGGGAGGAGGGGGCCTCGACAACTGAGGCTCACCCTGTGCTCTCTGTCTAGTGCCCTCCCGGAGCCTCCTGTTCTACGATGAGGGGGCAGGCTCGTGGGAGGATGGCCGCAGTGCCCTGATGCCTGTGGAGCCCCCAGATGGCTGGGAGATCAAGCCGGGGGGGCCGGCAGAGCAGCGGCCCCAGGACCACCTGCAGCTTGACCACCTGGACAGCACCCACGAGACCACCAAGTACCTGAGTGAGGCCTGGCCAAAAGACGTTGGTGGAAATGGCACCAGCCCCGACTTCTCTCATCCCAAGGAGTGGTTCCGTGAGAGGTGAGTGGGTGGCCCCTTCCCTTCCTGGCATCCCAGTCTCCACCCATACGGTGCCCTGGTCCCCGTGTCAGCCACACATCCCCAAGGCCCCATCCGTCCCGCATCCTGATCCAGCATGCAGAGGGGTGAGAGGGTCCTTCACTGGACAGATTCACCCTGATTTCTGTTCTCTCTCCAGGGATCTGGGCCCCAATACCACCATCAAACTCTCCTAGGCCGTGCCAAGACCCAGGACACAGGACGTACCCCCTGGCGCCCAGAAGAGGGGTGGTCTTGCTCTCTAACCCGGATCCAGCTTGTACCCCTGCCCCCTAGGCTCCCAGCCCAGGAGAAGGGGTTCCACTTTTCCCCAGACCTTCTTTGCCCCAATCTTTACCAGGGCTTTTCCTTTCCCCACCACAATCGGACTGTTCCCTTGGGCTGACCACTCTGTTCTCACCCCACCCTCCCACAACCATCCGTCCTTCTCAGATAAACCACTCACTGGGCTAACCCCTTCCTTTCTCATAATGACCAACACGACCACTGCCTCCCTGCCCCCCCCCCCACAAACATACACATCAACATACCGACATACACACACACACCCCTCACCCCCGCCCCACTGTACAGAGACCAAGAACAGAAATTGTTTGTAAATAATGAACCTTATTTTTTATTATTGCCAATCCCCTAAGATATTGTATTTTACAAGTCTCCATCCTCCCTTCACCCCTCCCTTGTTTTATATTTTATGAAGTTAGTGCGGGCTTTGCCGTTCCCTGGCCCTCTCCTGGCCTCCCCTGCTGCTGCCCAAGCCGCTGGGCCTTTTTAATTGCCAAACTGCTTCGTCCATCAGCTCAGCACATGCTTTAAGAAGGCAAAAGTAAAAAAAAAAAAAAAGATGCAGCATCAATTCCCGACTTTGTGCCTTTCTTCATGGGGGAGGGGGAGGCGACAAAGACTGAGGGATGGGGGAGTGAGAAGGGGACGTTTATATTCCGACAGGGTCTGATTGGGAGCATGGGGATATGAGGAGGCATTTCTTCTGGGCTCCCTCTTCCAGCCGGGCACAGGATTCAAACTAGATGGTCAAAAGCTTCTGCTATAATCCCCCCACCCCACGGCTCCTCCTCCTGCTGCTGACTGTGGAGGCAGAAGAGCAGATGAGCCACCGTCTTGGCCTTTGGGGATGCGAACTGCAAGTGTCAAGCATCTCCTTGGACCAGACGCTGTGCCACACACTTTGCATGCAGGACCCAGTTTGGTCCTCGTAAGACCCGCCAGCATTTCAGCTCTCGTATCCTTTGCCTCAGCTGGGTTGAAGGTACAGACTCCAGAGGAGAAGAGCTGTGTTTGACTGACTCCCGGAGCTGCCACTCACCAGCTGTGTGTGACATGGCCTAAGGTGGCCTCCAAGCTTCCCGACCCCACACTCCCCCCACCCCGGTACACACCTGTTTAATCCCTTCCCCTAGGGTATGTAGAGGACCTGTAAATATAAGGGGATGTCACTCCCGTAATTAGGTGACCTCTTATAGCAATAGTAAAGAGATTTTGCAGTTGTAATTAAGATTCCAAATCAATTGATTTTGAGTGCATCAAAGGGGAGATTATCCTTAGTGGGTGTGACTTAGTCAGGTGAATGCCATTTAAAAAGGGACTGGGCAGGGGCACCCGGGGGGCTCAGTTGGTTAAGTGTCCAATTCAGGTCATGATTTCACGGTTCGTGGGTTCGAGCCCCACATCGGACTCTGCACTGATGGTGCGGAGCCTGCTTGGGATTCTCTCTCTCCCTCTCTCTCTCTGCCCCTCCCCCACTTGCACTATCTCTCTCTCCAAATTAAATAAACTTAAAAAAACAAAAAACCTTTAAAAAAAATAAAAAGGGACTGGGCAGGGTGCCAGCGTGACTCAGAAGCATCCAACTCTTAATTTAAGTCCAGGTCATGACTTCACAGTTCGTGAGTTCAAGCCCTGCATCCGGGCTCTGTGCTGACAGCATGGAGACTGCTTGGGATTCTCTCTCTCTCTCTCTCTCTCTCTCTCTCTCTCTCTCTCAAAAATAAATAAAGGGGCGACTGGGTGACTCAGTCAGTTAAGCGTCTGACTCTTGGTTCCAGCTAGGGTCATGATTGTGGTTCATGGGTTCGAGCCCCAGGTAGGGCTCTGCACTGACAGTGTGGGGCCCACTTGGGATCCTCTCTCTCCCTTTCTGTCTCTCTCTCAAAAGAAATAAATAACGTTAACAAATAAATAAATAAACTTAAAAAACAAAAAAGGGACTGAGCATCTCCTGAAAAGAAATAGTACGGTGCTGGGGCCTTGAAGCACACAGCCGTGTTGTGAACTACACAGAGGAGGTGGCCTCGAGGAGCTGAGGGCCTCAGAGCTATAGTGGCAAGGCGTTGAATTCTGCCAACCACTTCAACAAGCTTGGAAGCAGACCTCAGCTCCAGATGACACCCCAGGGCAGCCAACACCCGGACTGCAGCCTGCGAGAGCCAGAGCTCAAGACGCGGCTAGGTTGTGCTCTGAGTCATGGAAACTGAGGTCATACATATGTTGTTTTAAACTGCCATCTTTGTGGTGATTTGTTACACAGCACAGGAAAGTAAGATACTATGTAACCGGAATCTCTCCGAGCTTCCACTTCTCCATTTGAATTTTTTTTTCTTCGTTTATTTATTTTTGAGAGAAAGAGACAGAGTGCGAGCAGGGGGAGGGGCAGAGAAAGAGAGACATACACACAGAATCCCAAGCAGGCTCCAGGCTCCAAGCTGTCGGCGCAGAGCCCGACCCGGGGCTCAAACCCACAGACTGTGAGATCGTGACCTGAGCTGAAGTCGGATGCTTAACCGACGGAGCCACCCAGGTGCCCCACATCTCTCCATTTGTGAAAGGAGGATATAAATAACATCAAGGCATGAGGTGGTTGTGGGAACTTAGTGAGGTAAATTATATAAGGTGCTTAGAACAGGGCCTGGCCCATGGTGATTCCAAGAGAGATTAGCTGTGCATTTAGAGGCAGTATCAATCAGAGGGCTAAGGGCCAAGCTAGGGGTGCTATCATAGCACAAAGGAGGGTACCTCACCCAGACTTGAGCAGGAAGGGCTTCCTTGAAGAGGCGACATGGACTGTTGGAAGTGGGCAAGAGAGAGGAAAGGGGCTTTCCAGATAAAGGGGGCAGCCTGAGCAAAGGCCCCCAAGATGGGAGAGAGCAGGAAAACTTCAAGAAAATTCAAGGGGCGCCTGGATGGCACAGTTAAGTGTCTGAGTCTTGATATAATGCCTCAGGTCATGATCCCGTGGTTCGTGGGATCGAGCCCTCCATCAGGGTCTGCACTGACAGTGAAGGGCCTGCTTGGGATTTTCTCTGTCTCTCTGTCTCTCTGTCTCTCTCTCAAAATAAATAAATAAACTTTTTTTTTTTAAGTCAAATAGTTTAGAACAGCTGGATGGTAGAGAGCAAGGAAGCAGAGAGCTGAGGCCTGATTGGTGATCCGGGGCCAGACCCCAAGGGGCCTCGAACGCCTTGCTAAGAGGCATTTGCACTTTATTATACAGGCATGACTCTTTCATACTCAGAAGCAGGGCATGGTGGTGGAGTGATGCCTACACTGGCTGCCCCTGGAAAAGCTGGACAAGACTGGACAGGACTATGGAACCTCAGAACTGGCCATCAGGCCCCATGCTCTCATCCTCTTCCTCCGCAGCCGCATCTTGCCCACTTGATGGGGACTTCGCTGCCTGCTGCTGGGCATCAGTTGTAACTGTAGAGCTTTCAGTTCTCTACAGCAAGTCCATGAAAGGCTGGGCTCTCGGCCCCAAGCTGCTGCTGTTGTTGTTATTATTATCATTATTATTATTTTAAGTTTATTTATTTGAGAGAGTGAGCATGAGCAGGGGAGTGGAAGAGAGAGGGGGAGAGAGAGAGAGAATCCCAAGTAGGCTCCGTGCTGTCAGCACGGAGCCCAGCGCAGGGCTCAAACTCACGAACCATGAGATCATGACCTGAGACAAAACCAAGAGCCGGGCACTTAATCAACTGAGCCACCCAGGCACCCCTCTTCTTATTATTAACAGTTACTTTCAGCAGACCTCTTTCCTGAGATTCATCCATTCCCTCTATCAGTCTCCAACAAAGTGTCCTCAAAGGCGCTAGGCTGATAGTCAAAGCTGGAAAGTAAAGCGGACTCGTGGCCAGTGTGATGGAAGGGTGAACAGAAGAGAATCATGTATTTCAGATTGGGTGGGTCAAGGAGGGCAACTCAGAGGAGGTGGCCCTTGACTGGAGCGTTAAAGTATGGGTAGGAGTTGGTAAGGTAGAGAGGGGTCAGGGTTTTGGGGTGGAGAGAATGGCCAAGTGCAATGGCATGGAGCCATGAGAAACAGGGCCAGGACTGAAGGGAGGCAAGGGGGCCATTAGGTTGCAAAATGCATAGAGGTGTTTGTACCAACAAGCCTGAGAATGAGCCCTCCTTAAATGGTGCACCCAGGCACCCAACCTGCCTCACCTTACTTAGTTCTGGCCCTGATGAAAAGGATGGCCCTTTCAAGGATCTAAACAAACATCATTTTATCCTGAAGGTGATGGAGAGCTATTACATATTTTTTAAGCCAGAGAGTGAGATCATCAGATCTGCCTGTCCCAGGGCTCTGCAGGGGGTATAGCAAGGGTGAGACAGAGTCCAGAGATAATTAGAAAGAATTATCAACGGCTTTGACATCAAATTGGCTATGGGGTGTGAGAACGAGGGCAGAGCCTGGGATGACATTGAGGTGTCCGACGTGGAGGCCATGGTGGATGATGAGATCGTTGGCCAAGACCGGGAATAAAGGGGGAGGAGCAGGTTTGGAGAGAAAAAGAATTCATTGCAGCACATCTCGAATTTGAGTTGCTTAGAGAATATTCACGTTAACATGGAAGTCTAGGGCTTGGGAGAAAGGGATGCCAGGTGGAGATTAGGACTTTGTTAGCACCCAGGTGGTATGTTAGAGTCTTGCGTGTACATAAAGGAAAGGGAGATAAGGGCAGAACTCCAGGAAGATGGACCATAAGAAACAGTGGAAGAAGAGGAGTGAACCAGGAGGCTGAGAAGAAACGATTGGAGAGGGGAGGAAAAGCAGGAGAGGAGAGCGTCCCAGAAGCTGACAGAGGAGAGCCTCCGGGAGTGGAGCCCAGGGGTGTCCAATGGCCTCTGAGAGGTTGGGAAAGATGAGAAGAAGACAAGGGGTCTGCTCATTTTGACAAGAGGAGGTCACCAGTGACCGTGATCAGAGCTGTGTTGGGGAAAG